CAAAACTTGCTCGGGAAAATTTGGATATTTCTCGGTGATGCCCGGAGCCGAACTAGGTCATTTGATCATGGGTGAAAATTTTTAGAAATGCATGTTCGAGCCAAAATTTTGAGTTTTCCATATTTGTGCAATGCTAGAGTTATATTGATGATTCATGATATGACACATTGCATAAACACATGTCAATGTGCTTATTGAAGAAAGTTTGGGGGATTATGAATTCAAAGTTTATTCATGCTAAATTTTTTACCAAGTAAGTGATATTATGTATTTCCTTTTGCAGGATGCCTCCTAAACGAACTTCAAAGGGAAAAGAGAAAGTCGGCTCCTCATCTGGAACAGCCCGAACAAGAGAACCCAAAGGGGGTGTTAGAAGATTCCTTTCTTCAGATACAGCAGCCTGCTACGCCAATGTTGTGCGTGATTGGGCAATCATTCCCGAGAGGCCAGTTAAGTTAGAAGACTTCCCCAACTTTGAATTGACATATCTTATTCACAATTGCGGTTGGGAAAAGGTTATAGAAAGATCTCATCCGGTGTATGAGAATCTAGCAAAGGAATTTTATGCAAATTTCAACACAGAAATTGACACCCCCGGATCGGAGCACTTACATCAGACTTGGGTTAGGGGCAAATGGATTATGTTTTCACCGGAGGTAATTCATGATTACGGTAATTCATGATTACTATCAGTTATCCTGGAATAATGTAGTCCCTATTCCCGAGGACTTCAATTGGCATGAGGTTGCAGAAATATTGTTGGGACGTGAAAATGCTTGGTCTCTACCTACAGCAGACTGGCATCAAATAGATCTCACCCCATCCATAGCAATTTTATGGTTATTCATGTACCATAACATCGAGCCTATATCCCACAGAACAACATTTACAAATCCAAGGGCCGGATTCATATACCATTTGGTTAGAGGGAACAAGATTGATCTAGCCACGTACATCTACAATCAAATTCTTGGTACAGGCACTTGGGGTGATAGGCATTACTCCCTAATTTTTCCCAGTCTGATATGTGGAATATGTAGAGCAGCGGGGATACAAATCCAACCTGGGGAAGCACCGAAAAAGCCAAGTCCCTTTATCAAGCAATCCACATTAGAGGCCCAAGACCGAGCAAGACTGAAGCACCAACAGAAATTAGAGAACGCACGACGACGACGGCAATTGAATGAGGAAGGTCAAGCAGATGCAGACCTTGACATGCCTCAAATTCCTCCACCACCACCCCAAGCTGATATGGACAATCAGGTTTTGAGGCAGATTTTCACCACCACCACAGGGATCAGCCGCGATGTGCAGAGTCTCCAGCAGGCTATGGGAACTTTGACGACTGAGGTGCATACAGCCCACCGTGACGTCCGCATTGCCTCTGATATGTCACGTGCCGCCCGCCAGGATGCCCAAGCAGCTAGGAGGGAGATGGACACTATGAATTGTCGACTAAGTGTGTACGTGAGCAGGGTGGATGGCATCCAGCTGAGAGTGAATGAAACTTGGGAGCGTTTAGGCCGTTTGGAGACACGGGTTGAGGGGATCCACGAGGAAATGACACAGCAGTCAGCACTGATGAGAGAAATCATATCTCGCCTTCCGTCTCCTCCTGCAGATCATGCTACGGGTCCCAGCTACACACCACGACCACCACTTTGATCAGGGGAGTGTTGTTTACCTCTTTTTGCCAAGTTGTATTTATATTTTTAAATTATGCTTTTCTAACTTTACATTTACATTGAGGACAATGTACTGTATAAATTTGGGGGATGGTAGCATAATTCTCAAACAAATATTCGGCATGTAGTTAATATGCATTTTCACAATCAATCATTAAATTGACTACCTTCTTGCATGATGCATGCGTGATGAATGAGTGTTGATTTTACTTTTGCATGCTTGTGTGGGTTTGGTAGCCTTGCCGGCTATGATGTGATTATTGGACAGGTGAAATATAGAACTGTTAATATAGTACAGGATTTAATTAACGGATACTTATTGATGCAATGCTTGACATTCTTTTGCATGCCACTCATGTTTTCATGTTAAGTTATTGAATAGGATTGTTGGAGTAAAACACAAGAAACCTAGGTTAACCCTCTACATCATTAACCCGTTAAATCACCAAAGGATAGTTTGGAGATGGTTAAGCCACTATAAGTAAACATGGAGATAAGTAGAGGCTCAGTGCATGAAATTATATTGTGTGGATTGCCTAGACCCAAAAGGTGAGAAATAGGTGAAAACTTTAAATTGAGGATGGTTGTTGATATCAAATGTCTATAAAATAAACATGGGAAAATTATCACTTCTCTCAAAAGCCTTTATGACTCGAGCAAGTAAGTCTGTTGGGGTTTAAAACCTGATATCCTAAAGCCAACTGGTTTGGGAATTATTGGCCTAAAGCTCGTTACAGGGGTCATGTAGAAAGCAAGATAAAGGAGAAGTTGACAAAATTCATCTTATCGAGCCTTTATAACTCGGGTGAATAAGGCTGCAAGGGTTTAAAACCTGGTGCCCTAAGACCAACTGGTTTGGGAGTCATCGCCTAAAAACCCGCTACAGGGGTTATATAGAAAGCAAATGAGAAGATAGAAAAAAAAAAATGAAAAAAAAAATTTCAAGAATAATGATAATAATAATAACCCCCTGTTGGACATTTGATTGATATGACTTTAACCTTGACGCGAGGTAAGTAGCTTAGTTTGAGCTTAAGGGTTGAAACAATCAAATTAAAGAGAGTCTCTACTTGTTGATATGTATACTAGTAAGGGTGAGATCTATCCAAACTAAAAGAGGGTAAGGATTATAGTTGTTAAACTCCTAACCTTAGAAAACACCCCAAGATAACTGAGTGAAAAGAATAAGTTTGGGGGATTTGTGTATCTCTCGAGTGATGTAAGGATAAATTTGACCATTATGGGTCGGGAACAAACCATTCATAAGCTTGATAAGTTGGCATGAGTTCACACACACACGTTGAGTATTGCAACTGACGAGTAAAGGTTAATTTTATTCTTGCAATATTGATATAGTTCTAGTGTATTGCTGAGTTCCAATCCTGAGACACGGCAAGCTATTAAGCCATGTTAGTTTAACTCTGAGTCACTGCATTGTTTGAGGACAAACAATAGTTTAAGTTTGGGGGATTTGATAAGTGTGTTTTTACACACTTATTTGGATCATAAACATGACTTAAACATGGATAAAATGGTTGAATTGTGACTTAATCCAGTTAAATTTATGCATTGTAGGTAATTCAATGGAAATTGTGGAATTCAGGAGAAAAGAGCCGAAGAATGACCAAAACGCAACAATTTGATAGTTCGAGGACCAAAGGTGCAAATATTGAAAAGTTGAGCTAAATGCAAAAAGAGAGGGAAGACATGACAAGTATAAGCTCAATGACAAAGCAAAACAACTGGAAGAAGAAAATATTGAAGAGGGACTGAAATGAAGACAATTGAAAGTTGGAGGACTAAAGCGCAAATACTCAAAAGATATGCCGAATGAGGGGCATAAGAATTGATGGTATCAATCATCAATTGGAAGATAAAATTTGTAGAAAAGATGAAGAAATCGAAGAAAGAAGTCAAGAGAAGCAACAAAGAAGTTTAGGGACCAAATTGAACAAACCACATAGATGTTACCTCTATGCGACCGCATAGTGTAACCTTCTATGCGGTCGCATAGAAGGCTCCAGGGACTCAATGAGCCCAAACAAATTGATCTATGCGACCGCATAGATTCCTTCTATGCGGTCGCATAGAAGGATTTTTAACAGTCGGGCGCGGTTTTTCGTTTTGGTTGAAACTCCTTCCCTACATAATTTGGACGTGATATAAATACCAAAAATCATCATATGAAGGGGCAGAACGACCAGGGAGAAGGAAGAGACCAAAATTGGAGGCAAGAAACTTGATTTTGGATTCAATTTCACACGGGCTCGAGACGGGATTGAAGATTATACACACGGATTGAAGAACTTCTATACATGTGTATTCTTATTATCTTTTAATTTCGTTTTTCAATTTCTTGATTTTGCAATGATGATTATAGGCTAGGGTTTTTATTCATTAGGAATTTGATGAACCTTTTGATGATTTAAATTTCTGTTATTTCATAAATTCAATATTAATTTCGATTGGACAAATGTTTGATTTATATGAGTTGAATGTTTCCATAATTATTTGGCCAATTATTATGTGATTGTAGATGATTTATTCTTTGCATTCGAAAGAAGGGGAATAAATTCGATAGAATATAAATCGACATAGGGTCCGATAGGGGATGAAAACTTACCTCTATGCTTTATGCAATTCATGAAAATGTTCATAAAAAGTCATGCATTCTTATACATTGCATCATCCATAGAAATATAGGCTGGTGATGTGTAAGAGTAGATTCAATATATATCGAGAGAGTGTATTGGATAATTTAGGAACATTGAATTGGCATTTTGTTCATCGATTCGTTGAATTTGTGAAATTAGGGTTTTTAATAATCAATTGGGGATTCAAGTTCTTAATGATTTCATTTCAATTCATTTCAATACAGTAATTCTAAAATTGCGTATTTACATTTCAGTTGCATATTTATTTCATTAGATCAGTGAAATTTTGAATTTAGGGTTTCCAATTTTGAAATTAGGGTTATCTTTGCAATTAGGGTTTCGAATTGGGGATTTCTCCCAAAATTAGGGTTTTCATATTTAAACCAAATTTTCATTCAATTAGATTCGGTTAAGGTCACATTAGTCTAATTAGAGCTAATTTAATCCTCGTGGGAACGATACTTGGACTCATAGTCCACTTTACTACTTGTTAACGAACCGTACACTTGCGGTGGGTTTTAAAATCGAGAAGAAATAATTTTGCGAACAAATATCATTATGCAAAATGTTCCTACATTTCATTTTTTGGCACTTTTACCCTTAACTTCACATTTTATTGCGAAAATCATCATTTTCATCAAATTTTTCTTGTATAAAATGACAAATATACTCTTTATTTAAATAATACAATAAAAAAAGTTAAAAAATAAATTGTAATTGTACTTCCAAACTTTAAAAAAGTGAAAATGAGTCCATATAAATTATTAAAAGGATAATTAGCACAAAAAATCTCTATTAATTTTTCATTATTATTGTGCAAAACGTCCCTACCTTTCTTTTTTTTTAATTTTCACCCTTATTTTATATTTTATTGAGAAAATCGTTAAATTCATCAATTTTTTTTTTCAATTAAAAGCTGTAAAATAACAAATATACACTCATATTTATATAAACAAAAATAAAAATAAAAAATAAAAAAATAAAAAACAAATTGCAACTATATTTCCAAAATTTTCAAAAAACTACAAATAAATTCCAATTTGTTTGTTCTTCAATTGGAACTTACACGTGCATATCTGCCCAAGGCGTGAAGTTAAGGGCTTTGTTGATCTCACTGCTGATGAGACTAGTGATATAAGGCTTGCAGCGCAGAAGGTTGGCCAGTAGCTTGAATCCTATCATAAGGCATATTCACTAACATTTACTAAAAAAAAAGAGTGATGCTATATGGGAGAGAAAATTATTATTAAATCCAAGTAAGAGTGATGTACACAGGAGAGAAAATTATTATTTAGTTTTTTCATTTATTTTCAAATTAGGCCAATTTTTATTTATTTATTTTGAAAATTTTGGAAAAATAGTTTCAATTTGTTCTTCATTTTTAATTTTTGTTTATATAAATAGGAGTGTATATTTGTTATTTTACAACTTTTAATTGAGAAAATGAATGAATTTAATGATTTTCTCAGTAAAATATAAAATAAGGGTGAAATTTAAAAAAAAAAAAGTATGGACGTTTTGCTTAATAATAACGAAAGATATGGATGTTTTTGTGCTAATTACCTTTTTAATAATTTATTTAGACTCATATGCAATTTTTTTAAAAGTTCAGGAATATGATTGCATTTTATTCTTTAACTTTTCTTTTCTTTTTTATTGTATTATTTGAATAGAGGTATATTTGTCATTTTATACAAGAAATTTGATGAAAATGATGATTTTCGTTAGAGCTGTAAGCAAAAATCGTCAAACCAGAAAATTAAATCGAAATAGCATTTTAGAATCCGTCGGTTTGTTGCCACATAGATCCGGTTAACAAAATGGTTTTGAACCAAACCAAAACGGTCAAATGGTTTGGTTTAGATTTGATAATTTTAATTATGGTTTAAAACCAAACCGGACCAGCGAAAAAATATATAAAAATTAAAAAAATTAAAAAAATGAAATTTTTTGAAAACTCTTTCAAATATGTAAATTTCAATAGTTTTGTCATTTGTGAGTATTTTTGTCAATTTCTAATTTTCTAATACATATATTTATTATTATTATCCAATAATCATAATTTATATCTAATAATCTCAAGACTAACATAATTTATCAAAAGCCCATTTTCTCTCCAGAATTTAGATGAACTCCAACTAACATCAAATATAATCTTGAGCCACCGACAGTTTGAAACCACACACTTCTTTTTCAAATTTGTCACGCCTCTTCAAACTAAGATAAGAATCTGAAATTAAATGCGTTTCATAACATCATGCAAACGTAAACTTGTGTAATTGTTATGTTTAGATATCATAAACAATTACTTTATTATTGTGGTTGG